ATTTATAGGCTGTAAAACGAAGAGATTCTAAGGATATGAAATACCTAGCACAAGTGTACACAACCAAATGAATATCCCACATTTACAAGGGTAGTTGGTATAATATAAGCGTTGCCGGGGTTTGCTACTTCTGTTTTCAATATTTTATATACTATAGTAAACTTTGAGAAGATATAGTTAACTTAAAAGGAGCTGGCCAAGTGCTAAAGGGAGGTTAACTACTTGTTTACCAATTAATATAAAAAAGATTGCCGTCGTGTTGTACACGACGGCACGGTTTTTGATATTTAATTTTAAATAAAGCAGTATTCTTGTGTTCAAACAACTTGTATACAGATTTCCTTTGCTCCACAGTCACAAGTTTAAAGATGGATGTTTACATGTTCATCAAAACATACACAATTCGCACAAGTGACTCGTTGCAACTTAGTTTCCATGCTCAATTCCAATCAGAGTATTGTATGTAAGAATCAGACGGACGTTGTTACAATCAAAGAAATCATCGCTGCCGAATCCATACCGAAGAAGAAAAAAAAATTTCAGCCCGACACAGCAATATAATTCTAATCATTATTACAACAAAGGTGACAAATTGGACACTCTTTCACGTATACGTGCCCGCCTTGTCGCCGGTGAAAGCCGTAGTTTACCTGAAAATTATACGACTGTATTTTACACTTCCAATTTCATTCATGTTTTAATTGTTATTTAGCCCAGACCTTCATCTGGTCTGTGCGTATCCCGTGCGGGGACCGAGGAATCTAGATGAGAGTGATTAGAGGACAATTTTCGCTACGCAATACTCTCCGTGTTGGAAGAGGATTTGAAGATCGTCATCTGCCTGGTCTGCAAATAATATCCCATGTTTGCTATTTTCTGCCACTAGGGTTGATGGCCTACAACATATTACTTACTGCCATCTCGAGGGGATCATTATAGCAGAGTATGGAAAGCCACCACGGTCATGAAGGATACGAACGAGAGCGCGGCGAAAACCACAAGGTGGGTCACCACCTGCTTCATGTCGTTGGGGAAGAGGAAATCGCTACACACAATAGGGGATAAAAGGTAGAATATATGTAAGCCGTTTGGTATTATAAGGGCGCAATAATGTTTGATTGGCTGTTCTAGAGCGAAATCGAGCTTGCGTGTCAGAGAATGCGTTGGTTGAAGAATACGAATCAGAGAGGGAGTCAATTATCGACCAAAGTGTAGCTGCACACACAAATCACAAATAAAGTGTTCGCATCAGTACCACACACAATGTCCCAAAGCCAAAGTCGATTACCTGAGAACGTTCGTGATACGGAATAGAGTATGACTGAGGAAGACGTATATCGCGGTGGCAATAACAAAGTTCATCAGAGGGTACCCAGGGATCCATACGATCAGCCGTTTGGCATTGTACTGGAGCCAAATGTGGAACTGTGGGATGAAAGTTCCAGGGTTAGTACAAGTAGGAAAAGCGAGGACTATCAGTCGAATTAAGACAGTGGACGTAAAGCCTTTTACTATATATATATGCAAAGATATATATTAGTTGTGCTTGCGCTCGTGGTCAAATTCTTTTTGCATATCCAAGATCATCGACAGCTGATTGTATAACTGACGAAAAGAGCGGAATTGCAACACGATAGGTTCGGTTTTGTAAATAAAGCAATTCATGGCACTCAAACGAATACTGTGCGCATCGAACAGGTTCTTATACCCAAAAAAGCACATACCTGGCACAAGTATGTCTCCAACGTAATGCGACCACACCAGGCAAATAGCTCCATATGTCTCTCTCTCAACCAGGGGGTCAGATTTCTTAGAGCCACATACGCCATGAGGGGAATCCAGGAGGTGTATGGGTGTATTACGTTATACTCCATCTTAGGCAGGAGGTAAACGTTATTATACCAAATATAGATGGACACCAAACACACTCCGACGATGGCGATTGATTTGACACTCTTTTCCTCGCCAGCGACAGGCAGGAAGTTTGTGAGCCGTTTGTGATTGTACGCTGCAAACAATCCGAAGGAATACATGATGGCCAGTTAGTTCATTGATATAATGCGTCAACACCTACATATGCTAAAACATCAAATTAACCGCGGGCTGCTCCCTACTTCCTATTTATATTGTCCGCGTGTCGTGACATTGATGACTATAAATTGACAAACAGATATGAGGAATAATCACCTTCGAGAAGACTTGGCGAGAGACAGCAATACGAGAAAGCAGTAGGCACTATTGCGTTGCAACCGACCACTACAAATCATATGTATAGGCGTGATGGATACAATCTTGTTTACTTACCTACTATCATGCCAATGAGGGGTGCATAGTGGTCCAGTCCACTGCGGAACATCCACTCGTGCAGAGTGCCTTCGTATGATATAATTGGGTATGCCAACGCAAAGATGCTTTCCCCAATGTCTTTCACATCGTACAGGAAGAATAGTAGCACAAACGTCGCTGCGAATTTGATCCAAATCACCTGCGAGGATTAAGGTACAGCGTGAGTTTGCGACCGATTAGAAGGTAGAAAAGCAATCGGGAATCTACCGATGTAAAGTGTGGAGACTACAAACACACTCAAAGAGCCCTAGAAAAAGTGTATGTATTTAGCACATGTTAGCATAATGATCAACAAGATTGCAAAGATTTAAATGGCACTGCTCTTGCAAATTATTCAACCGCCGTAGATGACAAATACGATATACAGGAATCAAAGCCCGGAGCTTCAAGTTCGTATTGAATGCTATATAAATATGACAAGTCATTTCATAGACTAAATAGGAAGAAGATTTTTTCCCCCTAATGTTTTGAAGTAGGCAAATGTTGAGTGCATAATAAACGCCACATATTTAGTTGCCAAGAACCCCACAGAATGGGAAAATTTCAAGATTTGGTTAAAAACATATCCCATGTCGGCATTCTCCGTATGTGTAGCCACCATAGAGACTTTTGTGGTTTTACTTTTTTTTGAATCCATAAACACAGTACTTTCAACATACCGCATTGCTGTCGTTCTTTCCCTTGAGCACGAAGAGGACCCCAAAGGTCATCAAAAAGTAGAAGGTGTGCATCGGGCAAATGTAGTACAGCATGTATTCGGTATCCAGAGCCCAACAGAAGAAAAACACTGGGTAGATCGATGCAACAGGCAAGAGGAGAAAATAAAACAATGTGAGAATACTGGAACATAAGGTGTAACTTTCTGGGTACACAACCATTCTGAAAGACGAACAGAAATCGCTTACAAACTACGACAAACCAGTGCGCCGAGTAAGAGTTGATTTCTGAGTACTAGCGGTATCATAAGCATAGAAAAACACAAACACAAACACAAAAAAGCACACATATATAAATATGGATAAAATAAACATGTATCAATAAGACTGAGTGGTTGAATATGGACTTACCGAGGAAATTGAGACGGAACAACATTTTCATCAGTCGCAGCCCTGAGTAATCTTTCCTGTGGTAGAAGTACATGAAGTTACCGAAGCCTGTCATCCATACATACCCGGCAATTAAGATACGGATGAGGTTGTATACCTACACAGGGATAAGGAGAACAGCGAGTAAAATGATGAGCTTTCAGTCTGCAGAAACAGGAGATACTACTCCAACCACGCTTTATACACATGGGACCTCGATACCAGATGCAAGAAAGGTGTGTTCGCAGCTTAATGAAGGGCCATAAATATCTTGAACGGTACACAAAAGATATATACACGTATTTGAATACACAAAAAAAAATCCTATCCACTCACCCCCTGCTAAATTTCAATGTGGCATCTAAAACATCAACATGTAGCTCGTTTCAAATTCATACATTATACTTGTGCTTCCTGCTTCTGATACCAAGGTCACATTTATTATCGTACTCGTAAGCCTGCAGAAAACCCAAACACTTGTCGCACTCCCGCTCAAACTTACATCTACACCAGCATTGTAGTAGTGATATAGCACAAAAATCATCTGCATGATTCCCTTCCACTCTTCAGTTTGGTCTCGACTCAGCAGAACATTGGTTTGCTAACAGAGAGGCGATATTGGCGGTTGGGGAGGAGGATTAGTTTTTTATCGTGAGTACAGAGGATTTCGCTATCGTAAAGTAATATGATCAGAAGAAGTGTCCTTTGTCTGCAATAAGCCCACACCTACCTTGGGATCGACGATAACTGTGAAGGCCATCGCCACAATCAATATCAAGAAGTTGATGAAGATAAAAGTGTCCTTAAAGTAGATGCGTTCCCCAGATGCAACAACTGTAGAAGAGGATCAGAGATTAGAATTTTTATAGATATGAAGATTCGCGCAGAATCCAAAGCATGTCGAATACACTGTAGACCGATGTAATAGCCTACATCGTGTTCTAATAAGATGCCTATGAATACCTACATCGATCTATGAAATGCTTCGCTACACTTCATCCATGCGCATAGAGTAAAGCTTGTATAAAAAGAAATATGCGCAGGCGGACAATATCAATATAGCCCAGCAATATATTAAAAGTAACCTCAGTCACCCGCCTACCTTTCTTGTAGTCCATTAAGTAGATAAAGAACATGATGAAACCGAACAGGGACATGGCTTCCGTCGCCGGCTGAAGCTTGTCCATATTGAGTATATTTGGGACCGAATTTTTGGGCTTCACAGGCGTGCTTTCGTCTTCACCTAACATGTCTTCACTCGTTACCTCGACCAATTCCATGCTCGAATGTGCCCTGAATGTGAATTTGTGACCAGAATTAGAATAGGAGTGGTTCAGGTAGCTCAGTACAAATCAGCATATCTATATTTCTAGAAATACACGACATGGCCCGCGTTGCACTATGACGGTGGATAGGAGTGAGTAAATTGAGTTTTACATATACCTATCTCTAAATAGATATATATACATACAAACATATATACATATATATATATATATATGTATACATGTATATATATGAATATAAATATGAATGTTCTCAGACATACGAAGGCAATAAAAACATTGTATCTGTTGCCTTTTTAAATACCTTGAGATCACTTTCAAACTCAAATATCTCCCTATACATTGTGTTCTTGGCCAAGAGTCATCGACGCTTACGCAATATATTAGTTCAATATTGCTTGTTAAAAGAGTAAATTTAACACTCGTAATTTCCGAATCAGAAACACATACATGCATATATATATATATATATATATATATATATATATATATATATATATATATATATATATATATATATATATATATATATATATATATATATATATATATATACTATATATTATTATTATAT